CCTTGCCAGGGGGTTTGCAGATCCGCCATGCCGACTACGGACTTGCATAATGCCGTTACCCAAAGCAGACGGTCCCATCATGATCCCTTTTTTCTTTTTCCCTATCAATATTTCTTAGGCAAGATTGTTAGGCGCCATTCTCCGAAAAAAACGAATTCTGCGAGCGTTCACCCGATCTGAATAACGGAGATTGACCATGACGAGTCAGGTCGATCGTGGTAGGCGCCATTTGGCTACGCTCAACTTCCCCACGATTTGCTGTCTGGATAAGGTTGCAGAGTTCAGCTACTTGAACTCTAAAACGCAAAGCCACAGGTAGTCAAATATGATGCCACAACTTCATCAAAAATGGTATCATTCTGGACCAGTATATACGATGACGTGGCTCAAAGAAGCGCTAGTGCATCAAACAAAGATTTATGTACATGAACAACAGTACTCCCCCTTGTTTCCCCTTTTCATACGTGTTTGCGTCCTTCAAAGGTCATCAATGAGGGGGCTGAGGCCCTGGGCAGTGCCAATGCGGTCCTCGAACCAGAAGCGAAGTCTCTCGACAGCAGCGCGGTCAGACATCCACTTGCCAAAGGCAGTGGGGTCAGTGCCGGGAGTCTCGAGGATAGGAGTGTAGTTGTTGGGAAGCTTGACGTCGCCGCGGACAGACCATCCACCGCGGGACTCCTGGAACTCGGTGCTGAGCATGTAGCTGTGCAGGAGCTTAGCGCCCTCGGGGTGAGGAGCGTTCTTGAGGATACCGCCGGTCTGGGGCCACGAGACGAAGCGACCCTCGATGGGGTGGCTGGTGTTGATGGGAGCGGTAGGGTTCAGGCTGCCGGAGGAGGTGAAGGTGGCGGCCCAGGTGGTGTCGTTCTTGCCGAGGATGGTGCGGGGAGTCTGGGTGCCGCGGACCCAGCGGGGGTTCTGGGCGACGAGCTTGTCGAACCACTCGGCGCCGTACTGCTTGACACTGTTTGATGCGGTATTAGTCGACTGACATTCTGTTTGGGATTGTGGTGAGTGCTTACATGAGGTCGAAAGCAAAGAGGACGGCATCGTCGTCATTGGGGTAGGTCAGGACGAGCTTGTCCTTGAACTCAGGGCGAAGCCAGTCGTTCCACTCGACGGGGGCCTCGACGCCAGGAAGCTTCTGGCTGTTCCAGGTGTTGAGCCAGGCGATGATGAACATGCCGTAGTAGGTCGCGGTGCCATTGGGCTTGAACTCGGACAGGATCGCGTCGTGGCCAAGAGGCGCGTAGTCGAGGAGGGCATCCTCGGCACTCCAGCGGGGATAGTCGTGCAGGGTCTGGAGGATGATGCTGTCGACGAAGACGTTGTTGGCGGCGATCTGGTCGTCGAGGTTGCCGTCGTGGTACTTGGAGAGGTCGACGGTGACGTTGAGGGTCATGCCGGGGAACTTGGCCTCGAAGGCAGCCTTCAAGCTGTTCTGCTGGGTGAGCTCGTCACCTCCGTGCCAGAGGGTGACGACACCGCCCTCAGCGAGCGCGGCCTTGTAGATCTCGTCGAGCGTACGGGTCTCGACCTCGGTGGCGGCGTTGACCAGAGCTTGGGCGCCCAGGAGGGCGAGAGCGAAGATGGAGCGAACCATAGTGAATGACTGACCAAATGAGTGGCTAAAGATTGACGGTAGCTTGAGAGGGATAGACGGTGATGATCGTTGCAGGCAACTCTACTTATATATGTTCATCTGCTCACGGATTTCGCCATGATACCCTGGTACAATCGCGATGTCAGGTCACTGTGCAACACGCTGTCATTGTTTATTCTTGACCAAGGCGAGATCCGCTAGAACTCTCAATGTTGTAACGTGATAGGTCTTTACGGTTCCTGTACAACTCCTTCCCCATCCGTGATCTGCCATGGCCCTGCAAACAGGGGCTGAGCATATATCGCCTTGACTATTATCCCGCCATACTGCCATGTCCCACTTTGTCCTTCTATGCACTAAAGACTGCAACGTTCTGATCGATAAGACTAACCGCGCGCTTCATGACGAAAGTTACGGGAAGTCCCGCTGAGAGATGAGATGATCCCTCCTTCTTTTGGCCCACTCGTCCCATCTCATGTTAAGCCACTGGGCCTTTACAGTTGTGGATGGTCTGGGGGGGTTTTCGGTGAGGGATAAACACACTTCCCACCGCTGGCGAGTCACGAGTCAGAGTTGCCCGGACCTGACTGCGAATACGGCCGAGTTCCCGTGGGAGATGCCTTTCGGAGTACTCCGGTAAAAGTGGAACCAACGGAGGGCACTGCAGGCACCCCGGGACCAGCCAAGCCGCACCAGCGGCAGGCCCCGTCCATTGGTCATCAGGGGGGAGGGGGAAGTTCTACGGAAGATTTTTGGTTCCGGAAGAGAGAGCCGGCCATGACTTTAACCACCTAAAGACGTCGATCTAGCCATTATTCGGATGGGAGTAAAGAATTCTGGGCCCGATTCGGTCAGCATGCTGCAGGAACAGGGGCGAAAAGTGCCGGGGCTACATTAAAGATGGTGTGATCTGCGGCAAGACCTGGGACGAACTCGTCATCCTTGCAATTTACCGTGGCTGAATGGTTCTCGAACATGGTCGAACAGCTAAGGCAAAGCAACGGCGTCAATGAATGTCACCCATTGCGTGATCTTGTCTATGCATTTGTTTAAGCTTACTGTTCCAGTAGTAATCCCGCGCGCGGAACAGCTGCCCTGTTGAACAGGTGACATTTGCTTTTTCCAACGGGGACCTTCCGCAACACCCCTCGACGCACGGAATCATATGCCGACAGAGCCTCTAGATCTTAGAACCCGAAACATGGCAGATTTCACAGGATCAACGCGAACGTTCGATCATTTCATCGAACAGTTCGCCGTACAATTTTGTGAGAGGCATTTGATTTCATTGCGTGGACACCTTCGCGAGTCATCCCGGCCCCGTTCGGATTATCGGCATTTGGCCCCCACTGGTAAAGAAGTCTGCCTACCGACTGTACGCGTACGGCGTACTGGCAAAAATGGCCCGTTTTCCAGGAAGAATTCTCGTTTTCGGTTTTGATGGAATAGTTTCCGCGTCGTAATAAACCGGGCGTTGGTCATAGCGATGGGTGTTTAATTCAGTACCAACCAACTGTTGGCTCAGGCGGGAAAGTGTCAGCTGAATCAATGCGCCCCTATCTGCATGGATGGACCCCGGGAAATACAGTAGCTCCATACAAATCGGTAAAGCTTTTATTGGGATTGACCCCTTATTACTCGTACAACATTTCTCTACCGTCTCGATTACTGATCATTCAGTAGTCGAGTTTGCTATGGTTGTCTCTGTGAATACTGCACATCAGTGCCTCGTTCCAAAGGAAATCAATTCCAGCAATTGTTGGTCTTCTCCAGACCTCAACCTCTAAGATGAAAGAGACCCCAATCTTTATGTTTACAGCTAGCCATGTGTAACATGATCAAATAATAGCCATTTGCATGGTTGGAAGATAGTCAGAGAGCCGCCTCGTACTCAGCAGGGACAGGGCATGGTCAAGTCGCGATTTGTAATTGCTTTTTTGCCAGTTCTCTAGTACATCGTCTTCCTCGAGTCTTCCTCGAACAAAACCCTACCTGCACTCACGCCGTCTTGATGTATGAGTAGGCACGTGATAATCGAGCAATGATGCTTTCCCTCAAACCCACACCACAGCCTCAGCCGTGGCTCAACTTAATTTGAATTCTAGCCCGCCGAGGGCCCACCTCAGCATTGCGACTATGGCCAAAGTCGTCAACACAAGCTTCACAGGTCTTGGCTGGTCATGGTGCCTCGAGGTTCTGGTTCCAAACTGCACCTATGGAATAGACGCTAAATGCGACGGAGGATGACGAAACTGGCTCTGGCTTGTGGTTTTCTCCGTACCACATTGAAATGATGAACGAGCCACAGTCATGGGCGATTGTTGACCTGAAAGTTAGAATTGGACGGACGATGAAGTCCATGGTTGTGTCAGCGACAATGAAGTCGAGTATCAAGTATTCGAGTTAGCTGAGTCTGAGCGCACTAGAATAGCTGTTTTGGCATAATATTGATGAGATTTAAGCTTTTTCCTTCAGACTGCATTATTTTCCAGTTCAAAGTAAGCCGCTTAGCTGTTCTCGAGCCTGAATATCCTTTCTCTGTTTTCGGGTGCATTCAGTTAGTTGTTACGATACACCCCTCGCCCCTGTAAAAGGACTACGTTGGATTCACTCAGTACGTGGGTAAGAAAGCACCGCCCCGCAACTTTGACCAATGCACTCTACTCGTTGAAACTTGCAGCACAGTAACCCTATTCGATGCCATTTGCCTCCAAGGAAGGTCGTGTCAACTGCAGATCTAATGTTCAAATCTCTTCAACTATAGGTATGTTAAGAATAGTCTTATGACATCGTTGATTGTATGCTTCGGCCTGCTAGTCGGACATATTCTACAGTCCCCGAAGAGCAACAACGGGTCTAAACCTACCTTGTTTAATTGACCGTTCTTGTAATAGTACTAGGCCACAGTTGTGACGCAAGTGTCGATGTCTTGATTGCGACCGGGAATTCGAAACAATCAGTTTTGCTGGTAGATGACGGGCTGAAATTACTTCACACGAACGTTGAAAATGCTTCACCAGGTTATTATTGGAGAGGAAATGCGCTTTACGAAAATTGCACCTAGCGTAAGATGGTCAGTTCAACCCAGTTCGGGCTTGGGTTGATATTGGACCATAGATACTTCGCGTGGCCACTTGAACTCATTTAACATCGCTCCTGTGACCGACGTAACAGCTGTTGAGTTGGTTCACACCATTCCCTACCTAAGTCAGCTCTGAACGAGTTCGATAAGAAAACTGCTGACATAAGCCTGCAATAGGCCGAAACGGGTTACGGTTAAAAGAACTTTTGGGCTTAGTCAAATATCCGCCCCTCTGTAGGTTGATGTTGATTGATGGGATCTTAATACCGCTTGAGATAACTTCCCTCTTACACACAACAATCACTTCCTTACGAGATGGCAGAACCACGCATCCCAGGGTCCAACTTTGGGACCATTGGTACGAGGGAGGAGGACTGGCCTGATGTCGATGGGGATCTCGATACAGAGGAAGGCGTCGAGGCTATGCGACGCGCCGACGCAGCTCTACACGCGACTATTGAGCGCTCCATACAGCAACGAAACGCACAATCAGCCCACGGCGACACCATCCCAAGGGCCCTCTACATCAAAGCCCAGAACCAGCAAAATCAGCTCACAGACGAAGAGCGACAGCTTTTACTGAGCCGCGGTGACGTCGTGGGCAGGGCCCTCGCTCACCCTGACTCCCTCACAACCGATGAGATGCACCAAGCCCTCCTCTGGCCGCCGCCAGACGTTGTACGCGCCAACATTCAGCGAGCTACAGACGGACAGCTCAATACAGCCATCGAGCTCTATGCCAAGGGGAAGGATGCCCTGGATCGCGGCCAATTCAACACGATGATGAACGGCGAGGAGGTTGCGCTGCTAGCGCGCCGCTTCCACGCCGTGGACGATGCAAACTTTTCCGAGGTAGGCATGTCGCAGGCTCTCGGTCAGCCCGGAGCCGCGCAGGCCGCTGAGTTGCTGTCGAGCATGTTGGGACTGGATTTCGCTGTCTTTCGTGCTGCATTGGTGCGTCAAGTGGGCCAGATGTACCCGATGCGACAGACAGCACCATTGTTCCCTGGTCCCGGCCTGGTGCAGTCTTTTCCAATGCCAGGACCAGGAGCTTTCGCACCGCAGGGACAAGTAAGGCAGAGACATGAGCCGGGCGAGATCATCAGCGCCATGACAGCTCTCCATGAGCAGCACCGGCTCGGCAACATCACAGACGAGGAAGTAGCCGCTCGAAACCACGATTACGTTGCTGCTCTCCGATCGTCTTCTCAGGTGCCATCGTTGTTTTCCCCCAACGGATTCCAATCACCGTGGCCCGCGGTAACCCCTCCATCGAACGCTGACCGCTTCGGATCTGGCCCCTGGCCGCCCACAGCCAGGCCGCAGAACCCAATCACTATCTACGCCAACGAAGCGGGTGTCTCAGGCTACGGAGTCGAGCCCGGGTGGTCCGCGCTATCTGAAGACCAAAAGACAGCTTACCGCGCCCGGTCTGAGACGCTGCGTCGCGAGGCTTGGGGTCAGCAGGAGACGACTCTGGCCGAGGGACCGTCACCTTTTGCCTTTCCTGGTCCGGAACCGCGGCAACAGCCTACACGAAACTTGACGGGGCTTTCGAGCCGTGGAGAGAGGCTTCCTGGGGTGCCCGTCCGGCCGGGGATTATCACAGGGCTGAGCGTGTTCCGCGATGAGCAAGAAGCCGAGTGGCAGGAGGTGCTGAGAAGGTGGGAGGCCCTTCCAGAGGAACATAGGCAGGCGTATGAGGCGACCGCTGCGACGGCTAATGCTGCTGCGAGAGTTGCGTTTAGGGAGGGGAGGACTTTGTGAAATACATGATCCCGTACAAAAGTGATTAAGCTGATCCTATTTGGTGAAACTAAATATATACATGAATGGCCTCAATGTAGGTTCAAGATCAGTTCTTGAAGTTCTCCTTTGTTTTTTACTTGGATTCTTCCAGCATGTTTCTTGCCGTCGCGACGTCGACGACAGCACAGAGTGTAGCCCTCGCCCATATGACTTCCTAGGTAGATCCAGAGAATCAGAAGTCCGTGATCAGATCATCAAATATAGCGCTATCAAAAACGATCTTTTGACCCTGGGAAACAGCTTGGAAGTGCTGGGTAATAAGCCATACGGCGGCAGTGCAATAGGCACACATTTCAAAGCCGACACACCCAAGTAACGCCGCGTGCCAGATGCCATAAAGCTGGTCGAGCTTGACCAGCAGCCAGAAGCGCGTGTGCGTGGTGACGCGCAGGAAGTGTGCGGTCATGTATTCCTTCCAACGCTGCTGCCACTCGCCGTAGATGTCAAGGCCGAACTGGGAGTCGTACGAGATCTCGAACATCGCCATCTCGTCCATCACGAGCTGGTACGCCGCCGCGTGCCGGTTTTTGACGTTGACGTCGTCGTAGTAATCGAACACGGCCATGACGGTCTGGATGTAGGAGAGCGCCCGCTCCAGGTACGCGGGCGCGGGCAGCAGGCAGTACGCACTCCACGTCGTCTCGCCGATGGGATTCTGCAGCTTGTAGACCTTAGTCTTCATCAGGTTGAGACTGGAGTCGCACACGACCAGCCCGACACGCTCCTCCATGGAGCCCAGCTTGTTCAGGCACGTGTCGGCGGGGGTGAGGGCCGTGTGCTCGCTCCACTTGGCGAAGTTGTACGCAAACATCCTGACCTCGTGGGTGGTGGCTGAGTTGCCGAAATAAAACCCGGGCAGGTGGCTCGGCGCCCCGAGGCCGCCAAGGCCGCCATCGAGAGAGGCCGTCATGAAGCGGCCGATGCTGTTAAGCTCCAAGATGTGCTCTGTAACCCAGATACCGTTGACCTCGATCTTGGCCGCGCGCGTCTTGAGCTCGTAGTCCTGAGGCCCGCAACCGGTAGACTTGACGACGTACCTGGAACTGTCGCTGTTGAGGAAGATGAGGTCGTCGCCCTGGTTGCCATTGGGGTACTGCGATGACTCGATGTTGTCATTGGTCCAGTCATTGTGCACCGACGATCTGACCGTGTACACTCTCGGCTGGCCCATCTGGTACGATTGTCGTTTGTCCAACGTTCCGTTTTTCCACCGGTTCCGGCGTTCAAGCGCCTCCTCGTAGCGTTTAGGCCCATCGCCAGTTTCGGTACCGGTAAGGTTCAAATAAGAAAGCCTGTCATCCCTTTTGGAGAGATCGAAGCCTAGCATCTTGGCACGGCACCGGAAGCTCTGCTCACAACTAGCAGCATCAAGCCTTTGGGCAAAGGTCTTGTTGGATGTATCTGTTGTGTTGTCCTTCTCCGTCAGATGGAATCGGCGGAGGTTGTTGAGAGCACCCAGCCAGTCTACACTCCTGGGGTTGGACTCGTTGGAGTCCGAAGGACTGTCAAATGGCACTTCGTCTGCACTTTCGTCGTCCTCCTCCTGTTGGACGTTCAAAAGAGGGATATCGGCATCAAGATACTCACGACGACGAAGCTGGATGTGCACACCTTGAACATCTGGCTCGATCGACTCCCAGCCGCCATCGTCCGGGTCGACGCGGATATCGAGATTAGCATCCCAAATCCATTGAACAGGGCAGTGCCATTGGCGTTTTGTGGGTTTTGACTTTTGCTCGTTGAGATTCTTGGCCGAGTTGAGAAGGCCCTCTGCGATGTCTGTCTGCAAGGGTCCCGACGGGGCGGTGCTGAAGGCGTAGCCCTCCGGCTGTGACTGTATCGCAGAAGCTGGGATGCCGTACATCCCGGCTTGGTTGACGGCGAGATTCCAGTCATTGACGTATTTCTGTTGGATGCCAATATCTGGGGACCCCAGCATGTTCATCGTGCCCAACAGGGCGACCTTACAGTCGGCGTCGTAGTCGATGATGGCACGCTTCTTGTCAAGCGAGTCCTTATCATGATCACCCCACTTGCACTTGTCCGGGTTCTGGAGCACGTTCTCGAGGGCAAGAACGTAGCCGTGGTGGACTTCGTCGGCGTTGTTGGCCTCGGTCAAGAAGCGCGGCTCGCAGCAAACGGCATTGGCGCCGCCTTTGCAGTTCTCGTATACCTGAGGCTTCTCCATGGCCAGACGAATGGTCCCATCAGGGCAGGTAGCTTCACAAAAATTACCGTCCTTGCGGGTGGCGAACACCATAGAGCAGCTGCGCCACTGCATGTCGCTGTCGGAGATCTTGCAGCAGAGCGGACGGAACATGTCTTGGCCCTTGTACTTGGGATTGCGGCAATAAGTAGCACCGCTGCCCCAGTAGCTCTCAATCATCCCGTAAGGTCTGGAACTGTCCTTGAGCTTGCATGCCTCGCTGCGTGCGACGTTGGGGTCATTGTCCACTGCGCCCGTGGAATCGCACTGGTCGTTGGTGATGCCATACCATTTGCAGATGTCGTAGCCCATCATGGAGTCGAGCGCCTTGCCCGAGTCAGTCTCGGTTTGGCAACAGGCCACCTGCGCCTTGCCATTGTTGCATGCCACCTGGGTTGATCCAACCTCTCGCTGCTGATCTGAGGGAGCTACAATCTTCTCGCTGCCCGCGGGACAGCCGCCGCGTTTGCCACATTTGCCGTTGAAGAAATCAAACCAGCCACATTTTGGGATGGTCTTGGACTCTGGACAACAGAAGTGACGCAGTGTACCGCCCTGGCAGTACGAGCTGTCTTGCATAACCTCGTTCTTGTGGCTGTCCGTGTCGAGCCGCGGCACCGTCGTGTAGCCCCTGCCGCACCCGGCGCCGCAGTTGGACCAGAAACACTGATTACGGATGATGCTCGGTGACGGCTGGTCAATATCTTCAGTGTCGTGCGTGACCGTCTTTGCCTTCAGCGACTTGTACCGGGTGGCCGACTGCAGCTGTGCCGAGTACCGCGAGTTGAAGAGACCTGAGTCGGCGCGCTTCTTCCCGACGGCGAAGGCCACCTGGGCAGTCTTGTCTGTGTAGTCCTGGCTAACAGCCCAGACCATGACGCCGCCGAGGCACATCTTGCGTGCAGCGTCGACCTTCAGCTTGAACGTGTCCTCGTCGTCGTACGTGATCCACTTGCGCCCGATGACAGCCACCTTGACCATGGCGTCTTTGTCGAGTGTAGTCGTCACGCCGGCCTTGCGTATCTGGTCCGTCAGCTCAGCGTTGGTCAGCGTGCCGCCGATGTCGTCTTTGCTGCACGGCCCAGCCTCTCCCACCGAGTCGAACATGCACTTTGCCTTAGTGCAACCCTTGTCAGCAGCCAAGAAGGTGCGTGAGTAGAAGGCCAAACCCAGCGTCACCTTTTCCGGCTTGATGTCGTTGCGCCAGAAGAGATCCAGATACTCGGTGATCTCGGTCATGTTGGTGTGCGAGTTGAGGAACGCGCCCAGCCACTTGTTTCCCTTGTCCCAGAGGCCGTGTAAGTCGTACGACATGACGTTGAAGAAGTCAACCCACTTCTCGAGCTCAGCAATGTCAAAGTTCTGGAGATACCAGAAGGACACTGGGAGCGTGATGGAGATGCCGTTGCGTCCGCCGCTGCCGGCGTCCAGAGCCGCTTTGAGGTTCTTCATGAACTTGGGGAAGTTGGCAAAGTCGACATCGCTACCGCCGCGGTCCTTGTCGACGGGGTACTCCCAGTCGATATCGACACCGTCAAAGTTGTATGTGTTCATGAAGCTGATGAGCGACGCGAAGAAGACCTTTTGCTTGGACTCGTCGGCCGCCAGCTGAGAAAAGGTGCTAAAGGTTGGACCAGGATCATTGAAAGTCCACCCGCCGATGGCGATGAACACCTTCAGTGCCGAGTCTGACTTCTTCAAGGCAGTGAGGCGTGAGTAAAGTGCGATATCCTCTGCCTGAGCAGGCACAATCTTATACGAGTTGGGGTCAATGCTGGCAAAGGCGAAGTTGAGATGCGTGTACACGCCCAGAGGCACGTCTTCGGGCATGTAGGCCTGGCAGCTGCGGCGAGCGGCCCATCCCTCGTAGTAACCGACGACGCGCTTGACCGACTTGGAGCTGTCGACGGCACACGATGGCCGGTTGACCTTCTTGTCGCCGCAGAACTCCGCCGTGGCGCCGCAGTACCCCCATTTGGAACAGCAGACGTTGAGGGGGCACTTCTTGAGCTCGACGTAGTCGGCCCCGAAGGTGCCCGGATCGCACTGCGACTTGGCATCGCAGCCGGCGACGCAGTTCTCGGGCGAGCAGAAGTCCTTGCCGAAGCCGCAGAAGCCAAACTTGGAGCAGCATGTCCCGTCAGCACACGGGTTGTCCGCGTCGCACCCCAGCTTGAAGTCGCAGGTGCTCAGGCAGCCGTCGCCGCAGTGCTCCTTGTCGGTGCCGCAGAAGCCGAACTTGGAGCAGCAGCCAGTTGCGCACTTTTTAGTAGCGCTGCATTCCTGCGCGGCCACCGGAAGGACGGCCAGGAGAAAGGAAAGAAGAGAGAAAAGGAGAGTGGTGGAACGCATCGTGACTGCGTCGGGTGCCGAGCTTCTAGTGCTGGCGGGACAAAGGTGAACAAAAGAGTAAGTGAGGGACTAGAGGTAAGGTTGTTCTGCCACCCGACGCAGCTCTTGCTGCCACGGGCGGGCATTGAGTGATTATGATGTTTTCCCATCGTGACAGAAACTCGCCTTGGAAGCAGTCTTAGATCAGGGCGTCAGATCAAGAATTGGCAAAGACTACCAAGACGCGGGCCGTCTTCCGTTTCAGTCTTGGCTGCATGGCGGGTAAAGTGTCTCGTGGCCGAAGTGTTCCTACATGCCTTATTTCGCTACGCGGTAATATCACGGCCTGGGCCACTTAGTCCATTTTGGACTGCTGACTGCATGTGAAGAAATGCGGCGTCACGGCGCAGCAGGGGAGGACTTCCACGTTAGGATAGGAACCCGCGCATTGCCCCGCCAGCTCTAAGCTCAAATTGAAGCTTGTTTTGCCACTTCTTCCGAGCCCGATTTTCAGGGTCCAGGGTCTCGTTCCTGCATGCGGGACGCAGGAACATATCGATTCATTGGCGATAGTGCGACTGATCGAAGTCCCTCTCTATTTCTTATGAAAGTCTACAATATGAGAGCCTCATGAAAGACGGGTACAGATGGGACACAATACCGAGTTGTGCTATCCAATGTTGTTACATTGCGTTCCACGTGGATGTTGAGAACTGCACTTTACAACTTAGAGAGAAAGTGGTGGGGAATGATCGCGACTATCGGACCGTATCACGGCTGCTTTCTGGAAAATCAGACAACCGGCAGCCATGACTTGTGGGAAATCGTATCTGCACCAATGGTCAAGCTGTTCACCTTGCATGATGACAGTAAATGCAATTTCCTCAAAAATGTCTCGTGAGATATTTAATCCCATTGCGGCAACTCTTTTAGGCAGACAATAACTAGTCCAGGTACACTGCAGGTGAGACTGGTGGACCCCGGTCGTCATTGAAAGGATCCCTGAACAGTTTCCGTGTCTCTCTCGCGACGACGGCGACAACTCGGACTCGGCTTTATGAGAAGACTCATCACTACTAGTATCTTTCCCCATTCCCGCTCCCTCGTATGAGTAAGGGCCTACTTGTCCCCTTCAACCTTCCGCAGCATCAGCTACGTCCACTCATTTGCCCTTGAGACGCCCACTCACTTGGGACGACTCTCGCCATCATGGCACTCGCTCTCCAGAGACTTTTACTTTTCTTTCTGTTCAACTTTGTATTTGCCTCCTACGCACTGGCAGCCCACTCGCACAGCCACCGCTCCCATGGCAAGATCCACCAACTACTTGAAGAGCATCATGTGAAGCGCAACGCGTCTTTGCTCGCCGGCAACGGAACAGCGGCTGAGAACATCATTGCCCGGTTCCAGGAAGCCATGGCCGTTGCTAATCAAGCCATCCTCGAGTCTCCCAAGCACAATGTTGCTCAGGTTCAAAACTCGACGACACGTCAACGCAAGAGAACAAAGGCGCAGCCACTAGACTACTCGGGGGATTTCGAACAGCACACCAACGGAACCGTCTTCCGGAGAGCCACGAACGGGAGTACCTCCACCAGGGAATCGTACACGGTCCCGTCCGAGGTGGCTGCCGCCGCGCGCGTCTTGGCCGAGGCGAACCCGCTTCCCCCGTCTGACTACGATGCTCTGCTCGCTGATGTTCAGGCTCGCGTGGTGAAGCGTAAGGCGCACCTCAATGACACCAACGTCATGCCGCAAAAAACGAAGCGCGCCTCGGGTCTCGTGGAGTACGTGCCCCCGGCGGAGCTGGCTATCACAGTCCAGAACGGCACCCAGGTAGCAGGCCCGGAGCATCCAGATGATTCTCAAATCGGGGACGCGGACGCCGGACTTGCCAAGCGTGCGGCCACAGCCTTCTGGATGGAGACCATGACACAGCGAGGCACTGCACCTTATGCTCCGGCGGGCTACAAAGTATGGCGCAACGTCAAGGACTACGGGGCTTACGGCGACGGTGTCCATGACGATACTGCTGCCATCAACCTGGCCATCTCGGACGGCGGGCGATGCGGTGCGGGCTGCCCGGCCAGTACACAGTTTCCAGCCACCGTCTACTTCCCTGCCGGCACGTACCTCGTCAGCAGCCCCATCATCCAGTTCTACAACACGGAGATGCTCGGCGACCCGTTCAACCGGCCCGTCATCCTTGCGGCTGAGAGCTTCTCGGGCCTTGGCGTCATCACGTCGGACGTGTACGTGGATGACGACGTGACCTGGTACCTCAACCAGAACAACTTCCTCCGCAGCGTGCGCAACTTTGTCATAGACATCCGTCCGACACCTCAGTGGGCATACGTGTGCGGCATCCATTGGCAGGTGGCCCAGGGCACGTCGCTCGAGAACATCGCCTTCATCTCAACCACGCCGGCCGAGTACGACGGCACAACGCAGCAGGGCATTTACATGGAGAACGGCAGCGGCGGCTTCATGAGCGACCTCGTCTTCGTCGGCGGCAACTTTGGCGCCTACTTTGGCAACCAGCAGTTCACCACCAGCGGCCTGCTCTTCGACAGCTGCCGGACCGGGCTTCAGATCCACTGGGACTGGGGCTGGACCATGCAGGACACCGAGTTCTACAACTGCGCCAAAGGCATCGTCATCGTGGGCGGCGCCGGCGGACCCTTCAGCACCGGCCAGGGTGTCGGTTCCTTATCTCTGGTCGATGTCCACATGTGGGGGGTTCCCGTGGTTATCGAGACATCCCTCTTCGAAGATAACTCGACGGCGCTGCACATCGACAACGGCGGGTTCCAGAACTGCGAGACCATCGTACTCGAGAGCCAGACAAACAGCGTGCTCTACCCGGGCGATGCCGCGGGTCTGACCAACGTGCTGTCGTGGGGATTCGGCAAAGTCGCCGACCCGAGCGGGGAGACAGGCTTCGTGAACGGCGCAAAGATGGCCGCCCCGGAGGCCTACCCGGCGTCGCTGCTCGTGACCGACGACATCCACCCGCGCGCCAAGTTCTTTCACCGCACGCGGCCCAGCTACGCGGACCCGGGCAACAGCCAGATCTTCGACGTCAAGTCGCTCGGCGCCAAGGGCGATGGCGCAACAGACGACACGGCCGTCCTCAACCGCATCCTCGACGTCGCCGCCAACGTGTCGGGCATTGTCTACTTCCCGCACGGTGTCTACGTTATCAAGGACACGCTCGAGGTGCCCGTGGGCTCGCGCATCATCGGACAGGCATGGCCGCAGATCATGGCCACCGGCTCCCGGTTCGAGGACATGGCGAACCCGCGGGCCGCAGTGCGTGTCGGCGCGGTGGGGTCCGTCGGCGTGATGGAGATCCAGTGTATGATGTTCACGGTCCGCGGCCCGACGGCCGGCGCCGTGCTCGTTGAGTGGAACGTCCACGAGTCCTCGCAAGGGTCAGCTGGTCTTTGGGACTCGCATATCCGCGTGGGCGGTGCCAAAGGCAGCGATCTCCAGAATGCGGAATGTCCCAAGACGGCGCAGAACAAGAACTGCATTGCTGCGTCGATGATGATGCACATGACGGAGAAATCTTCTGGGTATCTTGAGAACGTGTGGATGTGGGTGGCCGACCACGACATGGAGGATGCCGACCAGATCCAGATCAACGTGTATGCGGCCCGTGGCATCCTCATCGAGTCACAGGGTCCGACGTGGCTCTGGGGAACCGCTGCTGAGCACGCCGTCTTGTACCAGTATCAGCTCTCAGGGGCCAAGAACGTGGTCATGGGCTTGATCCAGACGGAGGCGCCGTACTTCCAGTCATCGCCCAAGGCACCGGCTCCCTTTGAAAAGGGGCTCGTGTTCAAGGACGACCCAACCTTCGCCGATTGCTCTGCGAGCTCCAAGACCTGTGCCATGGCCTGGTCGCTCCGCATGATCGACTCCACGAATATCTATGTCATCAGCGGTGGTCTCTACACCTGGTTCCAGGACTACTCACAGGACTGCGTGAATAGCGGCGCCAACGACTGCCAGCTGAGCACCTTCTACGTAGAGCAAAGCTTCGATGTCTGGGTCTACAACCTCATCACCATCGGCGCCATACAGATGGTCACGCCGCTCAATGGACAGCCCGTCAGTGCTGTCAACAACCGCAACGGCTTCGCCTCATCGATTGTGACGTGGCTCGGGGGCGCCAACCAGACGGCCGGCGGTAGGAATATCACCGGATACACACTCTACACGCGGGATGACTTGGCTGGCAACAGCTTCTCTGAGCAATGCAAGACGGCGCTGACGGGCACAATAGCCTGCGTGAACCAGACAATGCAGTGGACGTCGCCGGGGTACCGTGGCTCGCTCGACAACGCGACGCTGCAGGACGAAGTGTGCGACGTCGGGTGCCGCTCCTCGCTGGCTTCATGGTATCAAGGCGTCTCATCGAGCTGCGCCGACTACACCTGGAGCTCAGGTGCGCCTCTGGAGATGGCCGGCGGCTATGTCTGGTACGGGTACAACGAAAGCTGCCAGACCGACACCAGCAGCGGTCGTTACTGCAACGACATCATCGACGAGTTCGCCGAGACAGAGACTCTCGACGAGATGCCCGACGCCGAGCTCTGTTCCGACTGCTTCACCGCCCGTGTTCGCATGATGCAGCAGAGCACTTACTCGGTCTTCAACACGGTTCCCTGGTACCAGACGGCGCTCGAGGCGATCCAGGCGAGATGCTCGGTGCAGGGGTCGACCGACGTGCCGCCGCCCCTGATTGTGGTGCCCACGCCCGACCCGTTTTGTGTCTCGGACAAGTACTACACCACCCAGGCCGGAGACACCTGCAACTCCATAGCCCTGGCTAACGACGTCTCGTCGGCGAATGTCTTCTACGCTGCTACAGCCGCCGGCGCCACCCGCGGCTGCAGCGACCTCCCCGCCGACCTGAGCATCTGCTTGCCTCTCACCTGCGAGACCTACCTTCTCAAGTCCACAGATGACTGCTTCTCTGCCTCTGCCACCGCGGGTATTGAGGACATCACCCT